TCCAAGCATTAGGAATATCGGCAAAACTGAGAAACCAATACAAGAGAGTTTCTTGGTGACACGATCAACAGAATAAATCTGGTAGAAAAGAAAAACAAGCAAACAAATAAACCAGTACAATAGTCTCCTTCACGGTTACCTGCGCCATCTTGAAAGGTAACCGTACCTTTGCATCGAAGCGAGACGACCGTTGAGCGTGCAATGATAGAAACCTTCTTTCACACCTACAGACAATTATTCACAGGTATCTATCATTGCACGCTCAACGGTTGTCTCGCTTCGATGCAAAGGCACGGCTACCTTTCAAGATGGCGAAGGTAACCGTGAAGGAGACTATTGTACGACGAGCCACAATAGCAAGCTATAAGTGTTCAGATATGCGTATAATAATGTTTTATTACGTTTTATCAGTTTATTACGTCAAACAGTAATAGTGTCCTTCATGATTTCCTGCGCCATATTGAAACTTCAAGATAGCCTTGCCTTCATATTGAAGCAAAACGACCCAGACTCGTACCTAGTCGTTACTCATCTTTTTCTCTGGCGCGCGCAAAGGATCAAGGGAAGTCGGAAGCAAAAAAAGCTTCTCCCTGGTAGTTCGGACTTCCCTTGATGCAACGCGGAAAAACGAGAATTAGAAACGACTGGGTACGAGTGCGGAAACGACCGTTGAGCTTGCAATGATATGAACCTTCTTTCACAACTACAGTATCTGACCTTTAACTTAAGAATTGCCACAAACATTGACAAATTTTAAAATGATCTCAACAAACCTTAACAACAAGCATAGACGTAATATTGAAGATCGGTTCTCGAAACTCCAATCGACAGTCGAATTCTGGGTTGTAAATATCGGAATACAGCTTGGACTGGACTTCTACATCGGGGCCGACCCTTAAACAAAAGAAATCAGTTCATGACATACAACAGCGGCTGGTTGCACGAAAGTTGAAAAGCGCTATCCACCGTATAAATCCTTATCATGCAGATAGAGTCATAACACTTGCACCGTGAAATATGATSARAATAAACAGTAAATATTRGTSTCTATTTATTGACTAATAGTAGATATTACTGAACCAGAACACAGTTCATGAAAACAAAAGGCAATACACAGGAGACTTGACAACTGCCATCTTTATTTCATGTACAATCAAGACAAAAGACACATCTAGATCTAAAATAACCACACAATACACTAGGGAGCGCGTTTAACGAATCTTTATTTATTTGCGCTGCTGCTGTAAAATCAAGACAAAAGACACATCTAAAGCTAAAATAACCACACAATACGCAAGGAAACGCGTTTAACGAATCTTTATTTATTTGCGCTGCCGTAAAATCAATACAAAAGACACATCTAAAGCTAAAATAACCACACAATACGCAAGGAAACGCGTTTAACGAATCTTTATTTATTTGCGCTGCTGTAGAATCAAGACACAAGACAAATCTAAAGCTAAAATAACCACACAAGACTAAATGAAACGCGTTTGGAATCTTTATTCTCTGCGCCGCAGCAAAATTAAGATAGAAGACATTGTAAGGCTAAATTGAAAATACTGTAACAATAGCAAACCCAGTACGCAAATGAACGTGTTTTCTAACGAGTTTATTATAAGAGCCTAAACTAAATATCAAGACAAGACGCACTGAAATGACCCGCAAAAATCTATAAACAACGTGGTTTCGAACGAATTCTATCGCTCAAAGCTGAGTTATTTGACTAGTCAATATAAAAAAGCGACTTGACAACAACCAGCGGCGACGTTTTATATTTATCCTTTGCTTGAAGCTCAAAATAAAACACAATAAATTTTATTAATCATTTCGGAAATGTTTGTGAGATACGTACCTTTTGAGCATGGGACATTAGTTACCAAATCATTATTTCAAGCAGCACTCGTAACAGTTATAAAGTTAGTTACTATAGCTATCTATTTCACTTTCACCCTATAATCAACTCTTTTTGTCCTTTCAATAAACTCGATTTCCATGAAGCCTACATTTAACACAAGCTCTAGCCCTTCCCGACATCTTTCCTCTGGGTTTAACAAAGAACTAAACCAGCAGCTCTTTATTTCTTTCCTTAATTGTGGGTGGGACATTTTTTAACAAATTCCTCCTTCTTCATTAGGTAGCTTTTAATAACGTTGTTTGGCTTCCAAGTCTCTTGTGTATTACCTTTTGTTTTTAAGAATTGTTTTGGTTCAGTGA